CTATGCATCTGGTTTCTGTGGTTTCAAATTTTCCTTTGCAGTTATGAAATGGTGCAACATATCTCATGTGGAAAAAATGGATTGCAGCTTGGATTTCTTTTGTTGTCTTGGGAACTAGTAAAAAGAGTTTTCACTAGAAATCTGGTTGAAAGCTCCCAAAAATTGGGTTCTCATTTGTTAGCTGAAAAATAAATACAGGGATTGGAAGAAACACAAATACCCAGTGATAAGGGAATAGTAACATGGATATATGATAATTCAGTACATTGTGGCATATCTGTAATACTGAATATAACTATTAATATGTTTACAAGGACTTTTTAATAGCATGAGAAATGCTTATGAAATATGAAATATAAAGGCAATATTAGCTCTAGCATGTAAAAAAATCAATAAAATCAATAGATAAAATGCTGGAAAAAAATACACTTACACGGGGATCCCTGGATGGCTCAGCAGTTTAGTGCCTGCCTTCGGCCCAGGGCATGGTCCTGGAGTCTCGGGATCGATTCCCACATCAGGCTCCCTGCATGGAGCCTGCTTCTCCCTCTGCCTGTGTCTCTGCCTCTCTCTGTCTCTCTCTCTGTGAGTGTCTCTCATGAATAAATAAATAAAATCTTAAAAAAAAATACACTTGCTAGTTGGTGGAATCATGAGTGATTCCTTTGTTTTTTGGAAGTTTTCTAAATTTTCCAATAGAATATATTACTCTCTTTTATAAAACGGCTTTATCGGAGCAACTGGGTGGCTCAGTTGGTTAAGTGTCTGATTTCAGCTCAGGTCATGATCTCAGGGACCTGGGATCAAGCCTCTGGCTCCATGCTTAGTGAGGAGTCTGCTTCTCGCTTGCCCCCTACCCACTTATGCATACCCTCTCTCTCTCAAGTAAAATCTTAAAAAAAAAAAACAAAACAAACCCAGCTTTATTAAGATATTATTAATCTACTATACTGTTCAGTCATTTAGAATACTTACTGTACATTCTAAAGTAGACAATTTTGGGGCACCTGGCTGGCTCAGTTGGTGGAGCATGAGACTCTTGATCTTGGTGTTGAGTTTGAGGCCCATGTTGGGTATAGAAAATACTTACAAAAATAAAAAGTCTTAAAAAAATAAAGCATACAATTTTATTTTATTTTATTTTTGCATAATCAGAGTTGTGCAACCATTGCCACATCTAATTTTAGAATGCTTTCATTGTCCCAAAAGAAACTTTGTACCCATTAGCAGTCACTTCCCATTCCCACTCCCTGTTTTAGCCAACCACTAATTTACTTTTTATGTCTGAAGATTTGCCTATTCTGGATGTTTTATATAAATGGAATCTTATAATATTTACCTTTTTGTGTTTGGCTTCTTTGATGTAGCATAATGTTATCAAGTTCATTTATGTTGTACTATGCATCAGTATTTCATTTCTTCTTTTTGTCAAATAATATTCCATTGCATGGATAGTCCATATTTTATTAATCCATTCATCAGTTTCCAGTGTTTAGCTATTATGAATAGAGCTGCTATGAACATTTTTGGACAATTTTTTGTGGTCATAAAATGTTTTCAAATTTCTTGGTATATAGCTAAGAGTAGAATTGTTAGGTCCTACAGTAACTCTGCTGAGTGCCAAGCTGTTCCCCAAAGTGGTTGTATCATTTTACATGCCATCAATGTACGAGAGTTCCAATTTTTCTATGTCTTTGACAATATTTATTGTTTGTTTTTGATTATAGTCACCCTAGTGTATGTGAAATGTGGTTTTGATTTGCATTTCTCTAATGGCAAACATGAGTATCTTTTCATGTGATTATTGGCATTCATCTTCCTTGGAGAAATATCTAGTTATATCCTTTGCCCATTTTTAAGTTTTTTGTGTGCGTTTTTACTGAGTTGTAAAAGTTCGGTACATATTCTGAACACAAACAAGTCTCTTATCAGATAGATTATTTGTAAACGTTTTCTTCTTCCTTTTGGGTCATCTTTTCACTTTCTTGATGGTGAACTTGCAACAAAGAGTTTTTGATTTTGATGAAGTCCAATTTATCTATTCTTTCTTTTGTTGCTTGTGCTTTTGTTATTTTATATACGAAACGGCTGCCTAACCCAAGGCTACAAAAATTTACTTTTATGTAAACTAAGAGTTTTATAGTTTCAGCTTTTAGATGTAACTCTGTGATTAATTTTGAGTTAATTTTATTTACTGTGGCAAGGAGTCTAATTTCATTCTTTTCACGTGGATATCCAGTTGTCACAGCACCATTTGTTGAAAAGACTATTCTTTCCCTTTAGAATTATCTTAGCATTCTTGCTGGAAATCAACTACCAAAAACTTAAGAGTTTATTTCTGGACTCTTCATTCTATTCCATTAATCTACATGTTTATCCTTATGTCAGTATTACACTCCCTTGATTAGTGTAACTTTGTAGTATTGAAATTGGGAAGTATGAGTCCTCCAACTCTGATCTTTTTCAAGATAGTTTTGGCTTCTCAGGGTCCCTTACATTTCCATGCATTGTTTTTATACTTGGGAAAGATTTGTTAGAAAGAGAAAGAGATATTGCTGATAAAACTATGAAATCTATTTTGTTTTCCAAGAGTGATACTACTGCAGTGCACCTGTTTTCTTGTTCAGGGGAATATCTCTCCCCTAAATTTTGTCCTGGCCATGGTAGATTTTTTTTTCCCCACTCTTGTTGAAAATGTGATGAAATAAATGCGCAGGGTATTGATTTAGTCAAGACTTCATCTTCTGCCTTGAGTCACTTGGTTGGGTCAGGGGTCCTTTCCACATAGGAGTTCCTACAACACCCTAATTTTTTATTTAGTCCTAGCAAAATATTATCACACTATTTTTGTGGTCTCTACACTATTTTCATTGTAATCTCATCAGCTAATCACATTTTTTTAAAAAAGATTTTCTTTATTTATTTGACAGAGAGAGAGAAAGCACAAGTAGGCAGAATGGCAGGCAGAGGAAAAGTAAAAAGCCGGCTCCTTGCTGAGCAGAGGACCTCCCCCCCCCTCAACCGTCACCTTGCAGGGCTTGATCTCAGAACCCTGGGACCATGACCTGAGCCAGAGGCAGACGTTTAACAGTCTGAGCCACCCAGGTGCCCCACTTTTTTTTTTTTTTAAGATTTTATTTCTAAGTAATCTCTACACCTTGTGGCTCGAATTCACAACCCCAAGACCAAGAATCCCAGGCTCTACTGAATGAGCCAGCCAGGCACTCCAACTCTAGCAAATCACTTTTGAGTATGTATTTCTGCATGTTCACTTTGAATATACAAATGTATGTGTATTTATTCATTTATAAATTATATATACATGATTATTATGCATATTAAAAACATATACAAAACATATTAGAGGTTGAGATTTTTTAAAGAAGATTTTATTTATTTATTTGACAGAGAGATTGAAAGCACAAGCCAGGGGAGCTGCAGGCAGAGGGAGAGGGAGAAGCAGGCTTCCTACCAATCAGCAAGCTGACATGGGGGTCAATCCCAGGACCCTGGGATCATGACCAGAGCAGACACCTAATCGACTGAGCCACCCAGGCACCCCTAGAGGTTGAGATTTTTTAAATGCTTAGAAATAGATGTTTTCCCACACCTCAGTGGCTTTTATTTCTCTGGAGACTGCACCCTTGGATCTTTCCCAGCACCAGCTAAGGGCCAGGTAAAGAGCAAAAGCTCAATGTCTGCTGTTCCAAAGGAAATGTTCAGAAATCCTGCTATTTCTATTAATACACATTGCCTCTATTCCTAGGTTCTGCACCCTACAAGTAAAGCTTTTGCATCTGTTACCTGCTGGGGTCACTTTGCAGAGAAGCTGTGGGCACATCGCCCCTTGATTTCTCTTTTACCTGTGATTGCACCTTATCCCACTAGTTCCTTTAGAAAATAGCAATTGTATCATACTTAACTATAATCTTCATTTCAAACTGAACAGTCAGGCAGAGAACGGACAGCAAGCTTTCCCATCAGGATGTATCACTGGAGGGTATGAACAAAGGGCAAGGGAGCTCTTGGGGGGGACAGGAAGTGCTTCAGGAAGCTGGATTTTAAAGGGCCAGTGGGAGTTAGCCAGATAGAGAAGAGAGGAAGGCAGTCCCAGATGAACAGCAGGGGCAAAGGCTGAGATGGGAATGGACCCAGCACATTCCGAACTAGGGAAGAGTTTGTGTAGCTGGACACGAGGGGCGGGAGCAGCTGCATTCGTGTTTTTAAAAGATTCATCTGGCAGCGTTGTGTAGTATCGGGGTCATAAGGCTGGAGGTAGGGGAGGCTGTTGGTTGCCTGGAGAGCAGGGCAAAATATAGGTAGACCCTGGAAGCCTCTGGGCTTGGAAGCCCCGTCTCAAGCAGCTGTTTTAGTGCTTTGACTTCATTCTTTCATAGGACCTTAACGCCCCCGCCCTCCCCTTCTTCTTCTTCTTCTTCTTTTTTTTTCTTTTCCCTCCAGGGTCGTTGCCCTTTCCCCTTGTCCCCAAGAGACATTTACCTATACCTTTATCGGAAAATCACTGTTTATTTCCTAGGGGTCCCGGGGGCGGGGAGAGTTCTGTTTCGGGGCTCGGTTCGGGGCCTGCAGTCAAAGAAGGAGACACCGAGGTGCAACTCTGCACAGGTTTTATCAGGTCAGGCCAGGGCTTGTGGAAAGCTCCCATCCACCCCGCCCTAGTGAAATCAACCCCCACACACAGACACACAAATAGAGGCTCAGACGCGTCCAGAGGCCGAGGGCAGCAGGAGGATTATCAGGCACCGCGAACCTGCAGCCAGGGGCGTGTGTGGGTGGGACAGGCGGCCCGGGCGGCCGCCGCACGGCCCTTCCGCGGGCAGCGGGGGCCGAGGGAAACCCTAGAGCCCTCGGGGTGGGCGGGGCCCCGGCCGGCGCGGTGGGCGGGGCCTCCCCGCCGGGCACTGCCGCTGACGGCGGCGGCCCCGCCCCCCGGAGGGCGAGCGGGCGGGGCGTGCGCTGAGCGCGCGAGCAGGGCCCGAGCCGGCCTGGGAGCCTGCCGAGCCGAGCGCTGCGGGCTGAGGAGCGCTTGGGCGGCGGCGGGCGGCGGCGGCGGCGGCGGCGGCTGAGGCGGCGGCGGCGGCTGAGGCGGCGGCGTGCGCGATGGCTCCCGCCGCGGACCGCGAGGGCTACTGGGGTCCTACGACGTCCACACTGGACTGGTGCGAGGAGAACTACGCGGTGACCTGGTTCATCGCCGAGTTCTGTGAGTGCGGGCGCCAGCGCCCGGGCCTGAGGCTGGAGGCTGGGAGGGAGGGCGCCGGGGTGAGGGGAGACGCCGCGTGAGGGAGGCGGAGGGCGGACCTGGCCGCCGGGGAGGCCCCAGGCCCGGCCGGGGAGGCGGAGTGCGCCGCGCTGCCCGGGTGGGGAATCCGGTACGGCGGGTGAGGCGCGCCGGGGTCTGGGCGGCTTGCGGGCAGCGGAAGGGAAGCGGGGAGCGCCCGCCGGACCCCCGCGGAGGCCTGAGGAGGCAGGGCCGGGTGGGGATTCCTGTCGCGGCGGCCCGAGGGCCGGCTGGGAGAGAGTGAGGCTCTGCTCGTTAGAATGAGGGCCCCGGACACCTGCTCCTGCTGTTGCCGCCGCCGCCTTCGGCCTACGGGCACGGGGCGACCGGCAGGTCCTAGGCTAGTTTGACCCCACACGCCAAGGCGCCCAGGCCTTTCCCTTCCCAGGCTCTGTCCTCGTCGGTCCTCTTGGGTCACCTCTAGGGAAGGTGCCAGGCTCACGAGAGACCCGGAGACCCAAGTGCCTTCGCCACCCTGCCTCCTAAGGGTTAGGGTTCATCCGAGGACACTACTGATTACACCTCCTGAGGACTTGGGGAGCATGTCTCTCAGCTGCTGCCCCTGACGGGCCCCAGTTGCCCCCTAGGTGTGTGCGTGTGCGTGTGCGTGTGCGTGCGTGTGCGTGTGTGTTTCACCAGGTCTTATTCCTCTAGGCTAGGGAAGCACAGGGAAAACCTGTCACTTCCTTTTATGCAGTTTACTTTGGTTAAGTTTTGAGGGCACAGTGTTTGATCCTTCTTCAGGTACGTACCTGCTTCTGGCCAAGTACAGAACGACAACTATATAAATATAAATATAAATATAAATATAAATATAAATATAAATACATTTTTTTGGGCTATTTCTTCTTTCTTCTCTCTTTTCTTTCTTATTATTCTTTTTTTTTTTTTTTTTTTTTGGCTATTTCTTCTTTTAATTGGATCCACTTTCTCAGCACATGAAGCAGCTCTTCGCTAACCTTCCCATGGTTGGGTCCTTTCCCCAGGCATTTGTTTGGCTTTGTAGGAAAGAGGCAAGAGTGTCATGACAGCTGATCCTACTCTACTCTTCACAGTAATTGGCTAAATTAAAAAACAACAGTAACAACAAAAGCCAACTCTTTGTACTGTTCAAGACTTTACACCATGATTTAGGCTGAGAGTCACTTATCCTGAACTACTAGTTTAAAGTAATGATTTTTAAGTAATAATGGAAGTATATGGACACAGGGATCATTTGTAGTGTAATTACTTGGCAGCCCAAATGTTGGCAAGGAAGCGCTTTATCAATTTGTTGTTAGATCATGTTGGCAAACCCATACCTAGTGCAGAGAAGGTCCCTGAGAGGAAAGGACTTAAAACCATGCTTTCTGACCTGGGAGTGTGTAGCATGAAAAAGAGAAACTTAGGTCTTCAAATATTGGATAGGCTGTCCTATAGAGCAGCTAGACTTTCTATATTTTTGGAATGTGGAATTAGAGTGTATGGATGGAAACTAAAGGTAAGGGGAGAGATTTTTACATCAACATGCAGAGACCTAAACTAAAGAATCATGGAATGGATTGAGGAGAGGTGGAGGTCACAAAGTGTTGAAACAGACTTTGCTCAACTAACTCACATGAATATATTATAGGGAATTAATGTTTAGTGAAGAAAAGAGATTGGCTTTAGTTGGCCCTTAGGTCCTTTGCATATTTATGGGTGGATATAGGTAATAATGGCTCTTAGTTTAGAACCAAGGATTAGAATCAAGAGAAAACTGACAGTTAAGTCATGTGAGCTATGAGAGTGCAAGATACTACTGTTCTGCCAGATAGCTCTGAGAAATGGGAAATGGCTTTTGGTCTTACCGTTCTCAGAGGAGGAAACTGAGCAGACTGCAGGGAGGGTTTTGACATAGGAATCAGGGGCTGCAAGAAGAGGGTAAGTGAATGTTGGTTGCCCCTTGCACATGTACCTTGGGAGAAAATTATCTGGAGGAAATTGAAGTCCAGTCTTCTTACCCAGGAGGAAGTGGGTATTTATCATATTTTGGAGTAAGAGAATTTGATCTTTGAAAAATATGCTGGTTAATAATGATGTTGAAAAATGCAGTTTTATCATTGTTATATTATTTATACTAATGATAGAAATATTAAAGATAATAATGGGAATAATAGCCATATCTTAGTGTTCACTGTGTACCATACTTTGCTAAGCACTTCATCTATCTTTTCTCTTTCATTCTTTTTTTTTTTTTAAAGATTTGTTTATTATTCTAGAGAGAGAGTACTTGAGAGAGAGTGGAGAGTGGGGCAAAAGGGAGAGAGAGAGAGAGAGAGAGAGAGAGAATCTTAAGCAGACTCCCTGCTGAGCTCAGAGCCTGGCCAGTTGTGGGGTGGGATTGGGGGGATAGGGGGTGATTCAATCCCAGATGCTGAGATCATGACCTGAGCTGAAATGCCCCAACCAACTGAGCCACCTAGGTACCCCTCTTTGATTTTTACGTAAGGTTGCAAAAAGTGGTGTAAAGATAGTAGTATTCAAGTTGAGGTCTGATTCTAAAGCTACTATATGCCATATTCTTTCACACTTCCATTGTTAAATATTTCAGAATCCTATTTTTTTTTTTTTTTTAGTTGTTGAATCCTATCTTTTACCACTAGGCTGTGTGTATTTTGAATAGTAAAAAGATGAGTTTCCAGAATTGCATGTTTAAATTTTTTTTAAAGATTTATTTATTTATTCATGATAGACACAGAGAGAGATTGAGAAAGAGAGAGGCAGAGGGAGAAGCAGGCTCCATGTCGGGAGCCCGATGCGGGACTCGATCCCAGGACTCCAGGATTGCACCCTGGGCCAAAGGCAGGCGCTAAACCACTGAGCCACCCAGGGATCCCCCAGAATTGCATGTTTAGATGTGGCAGCAGTTCTGAGTCACTGAAATACCTGAAAATCTGTGTCTTAGTATCATCCAAGATGAGTTCAAATTCTCCTCCTCCTCCTCTTCCCCCACTTCCTCCTCCTCCTCCCTCTTCTTCATTTCAAAATTCCTTTTTTGTTTGAGCAGATTGTAAAGGGGGGGGTAGTTTTTCTTTTTAATGGTCAAAAATGTTCGTTCCTTGGTGTGCCAGAAGTTATAGGCACAGGCAGTCCTCACTCTTTATAGTAGTGACTATGCAAGTTAAAACCTGGCAAAGTAGTCTTAATGATCAATGGGAAAGGTTATGATTGTTCTGTTACCTTTAACATTTTTTGTCAAACACTATAAACCCTCTTATTGTTGGTTATAAATCTATAGAGAAATGAAAAAAATAGCAAAACTAATATTTAGTACACTGTAATTTACTTTTATTTTTTTAAGATTTTATTTATTTGAGAGGGAGTGAGAGAGAGAGAGAGAGAAGAGCACACAATTGGGAAGGGCAGAAGGAGAAGGAGAAGCAGACTCCCTGCTCTGAGCAGGGAGCCTAATGTAGGGCTCCACCCTGTCACTCCAGGATCATGACCTGAGCTGAAGGCAGATGTTTAACTGGCTGAGCCACCCAAGTACCCTAGTAAACTATAATTTAAAACATTAAAAAAAACATTGAGAATTAAAATGTGTTACTCCTTTGTAAAAGAACTTATCAAGAATAGATTGAACGGTGCTGGCCTTCTTGTCGTATAACTTATGATATGGAATGAGTAATCTTTCTATGCCTTGATGAATTGTCATATTCCTTCTAAGTTTGGTTCAGCTTCAACATTTTACTCTTTGCACTTTTTTTTTTTTAAGGATTTTATTTATTCAGGAGAGACACACAGAGAGAGGCAGAGACATAGGCAGAGGAGAAGCAGGCTCCCTGCAGAAAGCCTGATGCAGGACTCTATTCCAGGACCCCAGGATCACACCTGAGCCAAACCAGACATTCAGCCACTGGGCCACCCAGGCGTCCCTCTTCGCACTTTCAATATTGTGAAATATCTCTGCGAGTTCTTCTAATGCAGAATTTTTTGCTGGTGTCACTTCTTCTAGTCCATCTTCATCCTTTTCTCACAACCACTTTTTCATTTATGTTGATAAGTTTGCCTTGACTAAGTGTCCCTGGCTACATACCTAGAGTCTCTTGACAGCAATCAATATTGTCATTGTCAGCTATTGCTTTGGTAACTCTGTTTATGTTTGATTGGAATTTCACTTCCAACATTATCACTTTTTATTTCTTTGCTACACTTTAATCATTGTTGGCTATTTCCCTCTTTTGATTATTCATTTTGTAAAGTGTCACGTACATTCATTACCAGGAGATGAGATAACTCAGCTACACCCTGCTGTCTGTGAGTGAACTGAATAACAGATGTGCAGTGAATAATCACCAACAGTTTTTGCCTTGATTTTTTTTTTAAGATTTTATTTACTTATTTATTTTTAGAGAGAGAGTGTGTGCATGGAGAGGGGCTTAGGGAAGGGGAGAGAGAGAATCTCAAGCAGACTTCCTGCTGAGCGTGGAGTGCATCACGGGACTAGTCTCATGTGGAGATCGTGATATGAGCTGAAATCAAGGGTTGGATGTGCTTAACTGACTGAGGCACCCAGATGCCCCTCAAACCACTTTTTAGACTTAAGTATGTAGTTGGTAATTACAGCTTAGTAATACTTGAAGGTTAAGAGTATTTAAATCTCATTTTAACTTAATTTTTACCCATGTTGTTCAAGATATTAAGTAGGAAGAATTGTCATTTGGCAGCACATATTGGAAGATATGATAATTTTTGTTTTTGTTTTTAATGGACCAATAATTGGTATGTGGGTAAATAAGAAGAACGAGGACCTCAAATGGTAATTTGGGGGAACTTTACTAAGTCAGAATACATAGAAGATGAACATTTATTTATTTATTTATTTATTTATTTATTTATTTATTTATTTATTTATTTATTTTAAGATGAACATTTAAATGAAAGTCTTGCCCAATGCATTT